TGAGATGTTTTTTCACCAGGGCGGAGACGAAAAAGCAGATAATTTGTGAGCACGAAATCATAATCGTATGACTACAGCCGTAATCGGGAAACTGCCTTGTAATCATATGAATATGTCCACACTGAATGTGTTAATGTTAAAACTCTCTCTTTTTCATATAGTATAATATAATATAAAAAAAAATTTATATCGCTTACATGACCAAGTTCGTCCTCTAATTCCGCTACTTTTTCTAGTGCTGCAGTCTTTGTTTCGCTGTCCTCCATCAAGGCAGCTACATCAAACACATTGTCTAGATAAGCCGAGATTTGAACCTAAAAAAATAAAAGAAAAAGAAATAAAAGGACGAGATGACATATAATAATCCATAAAAAGTAGTAGATAATATGGATTGTGTTTGTGTTGTAGTCAAACATAGTATGGCAGTCACAACAATATTACATAAAATTGATACAACCTTTTATCTTTCATTCTTATATATAAATTCATTTTTTAGTTATGTATTAGTGCAGTAATTTGCTATAAAATGTACAATAATTTATCGTATGTAAATAATAAACATTTTTATTAAACAAACACTCGAATAAAATATAGCGATATATTGATATTTGAATAATCCTAAATATATACATAATAAATTAAGAATGAAGATTATTTTTATTGATGAAATATAAATAATTAAATATAATTGCACAAAAAACAGCTCAACAGCCACATAAAATGGAAATTAACTGCTATTGATCAATTATTCTCTTTTGATAAAACTATGATTTTCTATAATAATTCTATGTAATATAATAAAGAAAACTTTATAAATTGCTTGATATTGTAAAGTGGAAAAATTAAGTTTCATAAAAAGATACAAATTTCTGTCGCCATGTTTTTTCAGCTCTCCAATAAATTAAAGAGAGATATATGATTAACAAAAAACATTCACTTATTATGTTGATTAAGAAAATGTGTGCAAAATTTTTATATAATTGCGTTTAATTCACTGACCTGCAAATCTTCGCTCTCTGTGTGCCTAAGTTTCTCAAGGTATTCATCTAATCCAAGCTTCGTAAACTCGTATTGCAAATGTACCCTGAAGTTCATGTCCTCAACCGAATGTACGACAATATTGACAAATTGCATACAAGCGACCATAAATTCTATATGAAAGCTGTCGTACTGGGTGAAATATGCCATAAGTGTCGTAAATCTTCTTCTTTCGGAGCACATCTCTTTGAAATTATCGAATGCTGATAAAATGATCTCGTGACCTCCTTTTACCAAACATATTGCAGCAAGAAGTTCTAATACTAAAGCTTTCGTTCTGAAAATACATCTTTTATTAGCAGTAATTACACTATTATGAGTATGATTGTTCGAAATAATATGATGCATAAACAGATTATCTTTAAACAATAATCGTTGAAAGAATATAATCAGGTAAAAGTTGGCATTAATTTGAAAAAATAAAGTAAATAACTGATAAATAAATATATTCAAATGTTTCTCTCTGATTTTGATAGAGACAGTGATACTACAAAATAAGAGATATTTTTTTCAATTATTTAATTACATATTAAGAAATTAAAACATTTCCTTGGAAAATCGACGTATATGCTTAAGTAAATATTATTGAAACGGTGATAGATAAAAAATAGTTTTATAAAGCTCGTTGAAATCAGAGAAAGACACTTGAATATACTTTTTGTAAGTTAGTGCATTGCAGATGCTATTTGATACGTTTATGACATCATTATCTTTGTAAGACACATACATGTATGTATAATAATCATAGATAATAGACAATACATGACTCACCTCAGACTTTTATGGATTAAGCTCAATGCAATGCAATTAATCGCTTCTCTGTGTTGAATAACCATATTAAACCCGTACTGTAAAAAAGGAATATAAAATATATATTGTATTGCACACCTAGGAAAATATATGTATATGTTTTTTCAAGCGCGCAAATATGTGTATATAGTATATTAATATTAAAAATATATATATAAATATATTTATTTTGTACAAAATTATTTATTTAAAAAACAAAAAAAACTAGTTTAAAAACCTATTTTATCAATAATAATTTATAAATATTCAAATCATAAGATATGTTAGATAAATTAAACAGAAGAGTATAAAAGAATCAGATCAAAAAAATACAAATAATATATAATCTATAAAACTTTTTCTGAATACATTCGTAAAAAATACGTTAAAATAATAAATGATAATTATGGACTCATTGGCATTAATTTTTCCGACACAGAATTAAATCTCAAATGACTGCTTGCGCCAAATTTACTATTCACCTTGTTATTCATGATGGCACGCATGCACAGTATGCAAACATGAATGTCATCTTTTGCTTCACCCATATTTAGACGCGCCACGTGCCGGGACCTCCGTTTAACACCAGGACTATCTTTGAAATCGTGAAGAGGCGGTCTCAAGCATCCGTTGTTTAACGGTGACATATCACCCGTGCCCGCTACGTTAATATTATTATTAATTCTTTTTTTATGTACAATAAAATGACCAATCTCTCTTATACAAAAATATAGTAAATTTATCCAAAAAAATTTTTTATTGTCAAACGTAGTCGATTTTATATTAGCATTATTATAACAATAATTAAATGAAACGATTACCTGCGCACGTGCGTACCCATATACGCACATTTATTTTTTATATAAACATGAAATTTAGCACGCAACAAATTATCTGTTCGTTCACAAACTCTATAGTTTGTTGTAAGTAAAAATCAGGGTTGGAAAGTTATTTTGTAAAAGTATCTAGTTAAAGTTACATTTCTTTTCACTGAAAAAGAACTAGTTACAGTTACAAGTTACCGACTCTGAAAAGTAACACGTTATAGTTATAGTTACTCAAAAAGTAACGAGTCGTTACTTTTCAGTTACTTTTTTTGCAATAAATGTGCACTACTATTTTAAATATAAGAATCTTACATTTCAAGATTATTAACTTATTATATACTATATAGGTACTTAATTTTTGTGTTATATTATTTTATATGTAATAAATCACAATTGTTTTAAACTTAAAATAAAAATACATTTAAAATATTAAATTAATAAATAATTTAAAATAAATTATTATACACTTA